AGAGAGAGAGAGAGAGAGAGAAAGAGAGAGAGAGAGAGACAGAGGAGGAGGGAATAGAGTTCACACCCACGGACACACTGTTTGGGTACGCATGTGTGAATGAAACGTGCGTCGATTTATTTGTGTCATTGAACATGAATATACAGAGTGCATTTCTGTGTTGATGTTGAATCTTTGTCAGTTGATATTCTGAAATATGCACCTACACATTCATTCCGAACTCAATAAAGTTGCTCTTACCTTATCTTTTCTAAGATCATCTTTTTTACTTCTTACCTATACGCCATTCAGCATTCAGAAATGTATGTCATATCTTTACTATGCTATAACGTAAGCGGTGAGTGACCCCGTCGGCAGCGAATTAATAACAGGTATTTCCGGTCAGTCAGATTAGCTATACTCGAGCCTCTTATTTTTCATCTTTAATGCTCCACAGAAAATCGCCAAACTCGGTGGCGACAGAGTGGAGAGGTGACAGGGCATATATGAGGCAGCGTGGTGGAATCAGGCTCTCGCCAAAATAATTAAAGTGAAGAAACGTGCATTTTTCTGCAGGTTTGTGAATTTTATTAAATTTTTATTTTTTGGCTCAACACCTTTCTTGCATTGCAAATTTAAAAACTCATTTCGGTGTGGATTTTTCTTAAAAAACGTTGATTAAAGGCACAGAAAACGTAAATTTTCAGTTACCACAGAATCTAAAGCTCAGGAAATAACTCATCTTTTGGCGGCCATTTTCTCATTAATTTTACCTCTGAAAACAGGTGACCCCCACCTCCTTCATTCGCAAATATCTCGATTTGTATTCAAGATTAATAGATTTTTTTTCATTCAAATAAAGGCAAGTGAACAAGCTTTAAGATGACACTAATAACTCTACATGCCCAAAAATTGACGAGAGCCTGATTTCACCACGCTGCCTCACATATTCATATTCCTTGGCGTGGTAGGGGATGTCATTAGTAAAGGCTGAATAAGTGCGGCTATCTATACCTCGCTACTGTATGAGCGTGTTTGTATGTCTGTGAGTGTGTACGTGCGTGTGTATGTTTGTCTGTGTGAGTTGATGTGTGTATGTGTGTGTGTATGTGTCATTGTGTGTGTGGGAGTATGTGTGTGTGTGTGTGTCTGTGTCATTGCGTGTGTGTGGGTGTATGTGTGTGTGTGTGTGTGTGTGTGTGTGTGTGTGTGTGTGTGTGTGTGTGTGTGTGTGTGGTTTGAAAGGTATTTATTGATTCTTACAATTATATTATTTGGAGACAAGTCTACCAAACAATTTGCGTTCCTGGGTAGCTATTTTGGTCTTTCGACATAATGGCTCAATGGTACTCTGTAGCTGGACGTATAGGACTATTGAAACAAAAGAACTAACAGAACAATTCCAGTTCCACTATTAAATTCGCAACAAATTTAGACTTTTCGATTTGTGACTACATAAATATAGAACTTGTTATAAGATGATTTTTTTAAATCACCGAGTTTCCCCCGAAGAGTACTGCCCTGTCTACCCTTGTTTATTTTTAAAAATATTATTCTGTTCAGACTTGTTCCTAAAAAGTCGTCTTCACCTAGGAAAAATGTTCTGCTCTGATTTTTACTGAGTATCTCAATTTTTCTACTGGGATGCTCTTGTTCCCTTAGCCCAGGTTGGTCCGGATTGGCAGGGTCGGAAGCCCGCTTCTAACAATGATCCAAATTGTGTCGATAGAGGACAAAAATACCTGCATTTTTAAAAACGTCATGGGACTCCCCAATACTGAAAAAGTGAAAAAGCCAAAAATATAATAATGTATTCCCAAATGGGGGAGCGAAGACCGTGACTCTGTCAAGGAAAGTCGTAAGTTCGACATCTTCAACAGCCAAATGATAAATGATATAATAGGTTGCTTTTAAGAACAAGTGGGCTAACCCAGATTTTGGGGTTCCAGAAATCTTGACCTATACCAAAAGTGGGCTTTGCCCTATCTATAGGAGAAGTGTGGTTTCATTGGTGTGCATATTTGTTTTGTTATAGAGAAAACTCTCCGTGTCTTTTAAAGAAACCGAACAAAGGGCAAAACCCTTCGATTATCTCAAAACAGCATATTTTGGGATAGCCCCCTTGTGCTTAAAAACGACATAATAAAGGAGAAATGTTTTTTCAAGTATGGTTGAAAGGCATTAAGTCTACATATGGAAAGAACATACTAATATATTATTTATTTGTTATAGATTTGTACCACCGTGTTCACATGTACTGGCAAAAAAGGGGAGCCTTTTTATTTTGTCTCAACCTGTTCTTCTCAAAAGGGATTTCTATCCGTTGACAGGTCAAGAAGTATGTTTGTTTCGAAAAAAGTCCTTGCATACTTTATAAATGTACAGTGCTCTCGAGCTGCTGCTATCCACTTAGTGACCTCCCATCATTATGTCCGCGAAATGACCTTCCTTCATTTAACACGTCTTTGCTCAATTACAAAAAAAAAAGAAAAGGTTTGACCATTGACTTTTAGAGAGCGACAACATACATACATCCAAGTGTAGGGAAGTCTGGGTAATGGATGTCCTCAAACTGAAACAAAATGTTTAAGTTATTTATTTGGGTCTGAGTAGGGTTTGACATTTCTTGCACTCGATCTGAATATTCCTTCATAGCGAGTATCCTGTATTCGAAATAATTTGATTTTTCTCTTTTTAAATTGTTTTCTGTCGGTTTTTCTGGGTAGTTGTTTATTGGAGTTTGCGGGGGGGGGGGGGGTTGTTGTTGTTGGTGGTTTGTTTTTTTATGGGTTTTCTTTTCTTTTTTGTGGGTGGGTTCTTTGTTTTGTTTTTATATTCGAAAAATAAATGGAGTTTGGAGGATGGGGTGGGTGAACGTCATACTAAGCCCTCATCAGCTATTTGTAAGATGGGACAATTCTAACTGCTGAACAAATAGATAATAAAAACAGAAAGTAAGAAAGCACATTTCCATTCCTGTGCATTTGTGTAGAAAGTAACATTTTGTACATTTTGAGTGCTGTAGTATGTGGGCTTTCCACCCTTATAGAGGTTTGCGACTCCACCTGAGGAGATGTGGATCTACAGACCTCAACCAATTCCGAACCCGAGGATCCGAGAGGGGTGGGGGTGGAATGAGGGGCGTTGTTTTTTTCAAAAAAGGAAAAGAAGTACCACAGGTTTGGTTTCAAACAAACAAGCAAACACACACACACA